TGTTTTTTAATGCTTTGAATTTGAATAAAAACTGACTTATAAAGAACGACAATCCCTTTTCCTTAAAGCTTCTCTCAAGATGTTTCTGAGTCACATGTCCAAAACTGAGCTTCAGACCTTGCCCTGTCTACCTTCCCTTCACTCTGGAAGTCTTCCCGATCTAAATGAATAGAGTTGCATAGGCCAAACCTTGCAACAGAATTTAACCAGGCTCATTTGCTCACATACCACAAACATCAGGAAATCCTACAGGCTCTACCTCCAACATATGTCATGCTCACCACCTCCATTACCTAAACAACCAAAACCTTGGCCCAACAAGCCATCACCTTACTCTCCCAAGGGGCGTCTCTTCTACAGATGACATTCAACCAAACAGCCAGAGGAACCTTTTAAAGCTGAAATATGCTCTGTGTCCCCCCACGTTCAAACCCTTCCCCACTCACTGGATTCCCATCTCACTTGAAGCAAAATTAAAACCTCTTTCCTTAACTCTTGCCCCCATATATCTGCAAGGCGCACCTGCTCAGGTCTTCATTTTCCACTCCAGGCCCTCCTCTTCCCAACCCAGGTGTTTGTTTTCATTGTAGCCCCAGCTCCTAGACAACTGTCTGGCACACAGTAAGAGCTCAGTAATTACATGTGGAATGACTGCGTGACCGAATGGCTGTGCTTACTCAGTAAGTTGTTAGAACCCAGAAATAGGTAAGCCTTAAAAAGTCCAGAACTAAGGCTAAGTAATGAAGAAGGCCATCATCTTCCATTTGGCCCTTGGGCAATAGTAGTTCTTTTTTTTTTTTTAGGTGTTATATAAAAAAAATTTTTTATTAATATTACCAGTGTACAAATTTTAGCATTGCCCCCCCCCCATACATACCCTTCCTCCCCAGAGTTTTGTGTCCATTGGTTGTACTTATATACATGCAGTGGTAGTTCTTAAAGGAGGGAACGTGGAGGCTGTCAAAAGAGGACCCACCCACATTCCACCTGGTGCTAAGGTCAAGGTTTGCAGGGCTCCGTGTGGCTCACCCATGCCCCCAGGCAGGCCTGCTAACTTTAGTTCAACTTGTAAATGTGGCTCTAGTTGAAAAGGACACTTGTAAGATCTTTCAAACTCCAAGGACTGAACTTTTGCATGATGGTTAATTTTCAGTTATGCCATTTTTAGTTAAGCACATGGATTACAGCCATGTTTCTTTACTCATGACAAAATGTTTATGAAAATGTAGCATAATATTTATATTACATGGCGCAAGGCTCCACCATTTCCTTCCTTTCCTTTACCTGCTGTGAAGGACAGAAGCAGCTAGCTATGAACCAGGCACTGTTTTGTGGGCTTTGCATGGATCATCCCACTTAATCCTCCCAATGTTGGGAGAGCAGTTACGAAGTTCAATTTAATAAGCAGAGAGTTAAGACTTTCTCCAAGACCACACTGCTAACGAGGGCAGAGCTGGGATGTGAACGCAGGCAGGCTGGCCACAGAGCCCAGAGTTTCAGGATGTATGTCACAATGACATAGTGCCTCTTGGTTCTGCTTATTCAGCACGGAGGCACATGTGGTCAACAAAACAAGACCCTACATTACGAATGCTATAATTTATTCCTAAAAGGCGTTTTTTAAAAACCTCATCTATCTACTAGAGTTAAGTCCAATTTGAAGGAAAATATCTTTGACGTCAATATTTATCAAAGTATTAGCTGAAATGATACTAAGCAAACAAAATAGTTTTCCTTAAAAATTATAGGAAAGTCAAGGGAGAACAGTAAGAATAGACAAAATGCACTATTCTTGGAAAAACTGCTTTGCAAAGATAAACATAAGTTAATCTGCTTGAGGCCTGGTTGGGTTGTTCAATGGTCAGAGCATCTGGCCCTTGAACTGAAGGGTCTCAAGGTTTAATTCTGGTCAAAGGCAAGTGCCTCAGCTGTAAGCTCAGTCTTCCTCATGGGGGGCCAAGAGGTGAGAGGGGAGAAGAGTCGATGTAAGAGACACATGGATGGTCTCCTCTCTCTGTCTCTCCCCCTCCCTTTCACTCTAAAAATCAATGCAGAAAATAGCCTCAGGTGATGATTAACAAATAAATAAAAATAAAGTGGTTTCTACAACTGCCATCCCCAAATATTAAAAAAATAATAATAAATAAAAAAGACCTGCTTGAAAATAAACAGATAAATAAAGTCTTATAAATATAGCTACTCATAAAGTGGCTTCCTTTGTAAACATTTGACTGTGTACAAGTCAGAACAACTAATATTAGCATGTATCTTTAAATCCTAGTGCTTTAATGGGAACATGTAATCCAAAAAAATTGAAAACAGGATTCAGTAAATATTTGAGAGGCTCTAAGAGTAGGAATAATTCTTTTACTGGCATCTAATGAATGTTTCCTGATTGAGAGGGATAATGCAATAGAGGGAATTTTAGATGCACAGATAACTTACAAAAAGATTAATTCCCTACTATCTCAGCATTTCCAAAGACCAAATAAAATAGGAGTTGGTAAGGTAAGGTTAAAAATCAATCACTTTCTATGCATATCCTTAATCATACACATAGTCCTTTATACCTTTCAAATGGCTTATATATGAGTTCATCTTATTAAACTAAAAGTTTGATCAAAGCTCATACTATTTTGAAGAGATGAAATCTTGCAATTAGCCACATTAGATTTCTGCACTCCCTCCTGTAAGTTTTGAATAGGTGGTAATACTGGTGAGGATAGGGGTGGAGAGAGGTGGAGTCGGAAGGACAGAATCTAGAATCTAACTTTTCCCTCTTTTTAAGAATTGTATTTGTTTGGGGTTGGTTTTGCCTTCTGGGAGCTTTTTTAAAAATAGGCATCAACAATCAACTCTGTATGGTGAGCAGCTTCCCACTGGCTGACCAACCTAGTCAGAACCAAAGTTTATGCACTCCCTCCTCCACCACCAACTTCAGCAAGTCAAATTCCTACCCCATCCACCCTCAAATCACTCCTCCCTCCATCCACTCCCTCCCTCACACTTGCACTATCTCAACCCTTCCAGGCTAAACAGGGTACCTCCCAAAGTAACACTAAGCTTATCTGATAAGTTATTTCCCCGCTTAAGAGCCTGGTTCTGCTCACTCCACCCTGCCTTTCCTCCCAGCCCTCAAACCAGAGCTCCCATCTTCTCTGGCCTACATAACTGTCCCTAAGACTCATTCGGTGGTGAGAATTTGGAGTCAGTATGAACAAGCAATATGGCAGCCAGCAGCAGCACTCACTGTGTGAGCAGTGCCCAGCCTGCCACATGAGTGCCTCCAGATTCTGCTTTAGCTGAGAACGGTCTGTTCCTCTCTTGTGTTCTCTCAACCCACAACAGGCTGCAGAACTACCGACCCAGGATAAGGCCTCCAGAACTGGATACGCAGCCCCAGGCAAAGGCCTAGACCCACAGACCTGAGACAACCTAACCCATTCCTGGGGTAGGCATCCTCAAGAAGAAAAAAAAGTCTGGCCTCACTTCCCTAAGGTTCCTTCCACTCTCACAGTAGAGATCCAAGATGCAGCTCAGCTCCTCGGACCACCCAGAGGAGAAGGTCACAGGAAAAGGTGCCAAGCTGGCTCAATTCTGGCAATGGTGACGAGTAAAGTGGACTCGGAGTTATGAAAGGTATGGGATGGGGCTGGTGTCACAGACTGCTTACTGCTGAGAGGTTACACCACTGTTCTGTAAAAGATAGATGAAAACACTGTATGATCTCACAGAAAGTACTTAAAACAATAGGAAATAAAATGACAATATGCCTAAGGCCCAGGAGGCCGGTCCCTCTGGTCTCTGGAAATGGATTCATTCTCAATGGAACACACACTGTGCTTGCTACAGAAGAGAAGTTCTGGTCAGCCTGGGTACTTTGGGTAGAGCATGGCAGGCAGGCATTCCTTTGATTTGTACTCCCCTGCCCACCCCACCCCCAATTTGGGGATTTTTAAAACAAGTGAAAGACCGCATTATTTCAGCTTAAGGCGTAAGCATAGGTCAGTCACATAAGAACAAAGGAGGTTTTATTATCACATTGAACGTCATGGAAGAAGCGTGCCTGCTGACAACTGCTGTAGTGTCCCACACAATCAGGTTAGCATTTGCTTTTTGCAAGCGTCCAGGCCAATATTTACCATTTCTATCTAAGGCCGAGGTGAAAGTATTCGGATAGTGAGAAGGTCACTAAAGGAACGAAGGGGGGGGGGGGGGGAAGAAGTCCTTGAAAACAGCACCAAGTACACAGGTAGAAAGGAACTTCGCACCTCAGTGGTCTGTGGAACATTTGTCCTTTCCACCTATAAAGTGATTTAACATTAACCGCGTTTCTCTGGCCCCCCCCACACACACACACTCACAAAAATCCCTTTTGAAACCCCCCACCCCCACACATGCACACACCCAATTCCACATACACAAAAAAATATGAAACATACTGCCTCCGGTCAGTGTCTTGGGCTTTTTGCCTAAGAAGTTTGCTTTCAGCAAGGAGAGAGGGAAGGGGGGGGGGGGGGAGGAAAAACAGACTCTAACAACAACAGCTTGTTCAGTGAACACCCCCCTGCTGTTGGCACACTCTCCCCGCTCACAGTTCCAGCGCTGAGCCTTGAGCCCATTCAAGAATTCCACCTCATAGGAAGTGTTTCAAACACAGTCATTCGATCTCGCGGCGTTTTGCAAATGCACCTGCTAAGCAACAAGTCTGACAGCCATCGCCTCAGCCCTCCCTTACCCTGCCCGTCTTAGCCAGCAGCTGCAGGGGCTGTGTGCAGACGTGGGACTAGATGGGATGCAAAGTTCATAAAAGCCCCGCCAACCACTTCTGCGCCGGCGGGAGGTCCTCTTCCACCTGCGGGCTCCCTCCTCTGTCCCTTCACCAGCGCTACCCTGTCACTTCTCTCCTGGAGCAGGTGAGCGGGTGTTGTTTTGTTTTGTTTTTTTGTTTTGTTTTGTTGTTTTGTTCTGTTCTCCGGCTTCCCAATGCCAGGGCTTACCTGGAGGCGGCTTCCTCCCCTCCCTGGCCATGGCTCTCCCCCACGGCCCGGTCCTTGCTGCTGTGGTGGTAGGCGGTCAGCACGACCCCCTGGGAACTGGAGAGCCAGCTCATGGTGAGAGAAGGGGCATAATTCCCGCGGCGCTGACACTGAGAAGGGGAGTGAAGTTCCTGGCTCGCCCGGCGACTCCGCTCATTAGCATCGGCCGGCTCCTCCTCCCTCCCGGGGCCAGCGATTCGCACGGGAGGGGCGGGGCCTGGCCCCTGAAGGGCGGCCCGGCCGCCCAATCAGGAGGCCTGTGACTCAGTATTGTCTCAACCCCCGGGGCCCTTCCAGTGTGAGTGCTTTTGTCGTTAGGAGAGGATGGAGGGGTGGAGGATTCCCGGTGGCCACCACCCCGGAGGAATTCAAATCTGATTCCACTGCCCGGCTGGGCTGTGGCCGCCCCTCATCCAAAAGAAGCAAGCAGAAGGCTCCTGGGCTGGGAAACAAGGAGTTACCGCAGAGACGCGTCCCCTTCCCAATTCCTGTTTCCATCCGATCATTTCTGCTGCTTCATGTAACACGAGTCAGGGCATTTCTTAACCCCTTCCCGGCCGCCGTTACCATCCACCGCGGCAGAAACCAGTGAACCTGCTGCAAAAAAACGGGGCGGTGACGGGTCCCCAGAGAGACCTCACCTCTTGTGTCAGGTTCAAGTGTCACAAAAAGGATGGCGTGCCCTGCGATGTGGTGTTCTTTCGCATAAAAGTCCGTGCCAAGTTTCAAAACGCCTTTCAGGAAGAGGAGAGAGAGAGAGAGAGAGAGAGAGAGAGAGAGAGAGAGAGAGAGAGAGAGAGAGAGAGAGAGAGAGAGAGAGAGCCCTATCTACCAACACTTAAATGAAATCTATTTCTGAGAATAGCAAACAAAATTTAGCATTTGTGTTGCACCTACATATGAGGCTCCTATGCCAGTATTCAGTGTAACCTTGTATCTCTCTTATCTTTATCTCTCTGTCAAACACATCACAGATATGGTCTGTATTTTGCAAAATATGACAAAAGTGAAGCTTAACATACAGGTTAAGTAACTTGTCTACCATAACATAATTGTTCTGTTCAAAAAGGTTTGAACAGAGTTCTGGGCTGAACTCCACTCTTTTTTTTAAAAACCAGCATGATGTTCTTTGTCTTATAGATGAGGAAACAAGCTCAAAAGTTATGAAAATACAAGACATGTTTCTGTTCTTTCTCCCTCAAAAAAGTCTACTCTCTTCTACATACCTACAGTTCTAAGTTGAAGTGGAATATTATTGATCTATCAAAAATTCCTCATGCCCTGACCGGTTTAGCTCAGTGAATAGAGCATCGGCCTGTGGACTCAAGGGTCCCAGGTTCGATTTCAGTCTGACACATCCCCAGTGGGGGGTGTGCAGGAGGCGGCTTATTGATGTTTCTATCAATGTTTCTGACACTCCCTCTCCCTTCCTCTCTGTAAAATAAATAAATAAATACACAAATAAATAAATAAAGCAAAAGCAAAAAAATAAATAAATAAATAATAAAAATTTTTTAAAAATTCCTCATGAACAGCTTTTCAAAGTCATCATTCCATAAACATACTATTTATACTTTTTTCATTACTTAAAACTATTATAAGACACAGACAGTGTGGAGAAGAACTAGGGTGCGGGTTGGGGGTAGAAGAAGAAAGTGGGGAGAAAATAGCGGACATCTGTAATAATGTCAACAATAAAAAATAAACTTTAAAATTATCATGAGAAATAATTACTTTATAGATACACACATTTAAAGTATTTAAATTTATTTTTTAATTCTATTTTTCTTAGGAACTGTCATTTTCGAAAGCTGGCTGGATGAAGAATTAAATGGATTTAATGTGTCCTTAGAAAGTATACTAAATTTTAAAAATTAAGATTGGTAATGTTCGACAAGTTGTTCCCATGCACATACCAGTGTGTGAACCTATGACGATGATAAGTTCACCAGTTTAGGCAAAATGAAAAATACAGGAAGAGCCCTAACCAGTTTGGCTCAGTGAATAGAGCTTCAGCCTGCAGACTGAAAGGTCCCAGGTTAAATTCTGGTCAAGGGCATGTACCTTGGTTGCAGGCACATCCCCAGTAGGAGGTGTTCAGGAGGCAGCTGATCGATGTTTCTCTCTCATCGATGTTTCTAACTCTCTATCCCTCTCCCTTTCTCTCTGTAAAAAAAAAAATCAATAAAAAATATATTTTAAAAAAAAGAAAAATAGAGGAAAAGGGGTAAAAGGTAAGCTAATTGGAGTGCATGAGTTCTGTCTTTTTAATGTCGTTATGTGGAAAATAATTAATTATCTGAATTGCAAAACTACAGGAATAATCTGTCTTATATAATTACCAATGGTAGGCCATACACTCTACCTCTTGGAAACTCTTTTGTTCTCTTTGTTCCTCCATCTCACTCCTATTTTTCCCTTACTTCTCTGGATCTTTTTATCTTCATCCTTTATTGTTCTTCTATTTCACCTTCTTCCTTTACTATATCTTCATGAGCACTATTAACTCTGATGAGACAATTCATGATAAAGGGAGATTCTGCCCAGTTTTAACCAAAATGATGAAGTTACATCTTTCATATTGATACTCTTTCCACTTTTTAAGTAATAAATCACAACATGCAGATTGAGATGTAACTCTTTTACAGGTTCAAAATAAATTTGGGGTTCACAATAACCATGCTTTTTTAATTTTTGAGGCTGAAAATAAGATGTGGTATAAGTTGATTTACAGAGCTTAGTTCATAGAATTTGAATCCTACTAATTTACTTTTTAAGCACATGGAAATTCTCTGCCCACTAAGTAAGTCTTGTTGTTATTGTCTGAGAATATTAACTACTGAAAACAGTTAATAGGATTGTGCCCTGATGTACACAGCCTCACATATAAGCTCAAGTTGATTAAAAATGGTTTTCAGAATTTTCTTATGACCATCATGGAAGCAAACCTTACTACCAATATGCTTCCTTGAAACGCTCTTCCTTTCCATAGCTCAAACCCTACCAAGATTTAGCTAGAGTTCATCCCTTATACCACACTACCCTTTCTCATAGAGACACAATTTATTTCTTTCAAAAAGTACTCCCTTCCCCAACCGCTATAAACAAACACCAGGAACCTAATGTCCTTGAAAACATTAATATTCCAGGCCATTAATGCCAAACACTTTCCTGTTATGTAATATCGTGAAAAGCAATTCAATAACAGCAAGAAGCTTAAACGTTTATTTCATTCATTCCTTTTAAATGGGGTGTACTAGGTGACATAAGCAGGAAGAAGGAAGCCATAATTTACATACCCACATGGTTATTAAAAATAGGATGGAGATAATACTGCAGCCTCAGATAATTTCATAGTCATATTAAAATATACTAGGAAAAAAACTCTAGCAGTATCAAAAGGTCATTACTGGTTTTTATATTTGATTTAGAAACCTTCTTAGTAATATAAAATTACATTTAAAGGGCACTAACACTACAGTGTGATGAACACATTTATCAAAATTTTGCTTAATCATTTGCTGTCACTTTAATTGGAATTGATTAAGGAGAATGTGTATTCAAACAAATTCTATAAGGTGTAAAAGCCTGTACAGGGAGGGACACAAGGCCACGTGAAAGCTGACCTTTCAACTGGCAAAGTTAAACTCAATTTACAATAATATATTATAGCAAGAACTTGAATAAATTAATCATCAACTGTGAAGTTAAAGTTTTACATAGATGATAAAACCTAGATTCATACAGTAGCATTGACCAATAAAGGAGTGTGCTAGTATCCCCTTCCTGATGTATTACCAAGGCTTTTTATGAATAATTCTTATAAACCTGCAAGCAAGCCAATTCTGTACTGAGGAACTGCAGACTGAAATGTATTCCATGTACAGAATCTAAACTTACTTTCTTGGAAATTGCATCATTGTTCCTAATTCTGCCTCTGGGGAAACAAGGAAAAAATCTTTTCCCTCTCCCCCAGCAGCTCTAAAAAAATTCTGCATCATTCTCAGTTTTTTTGTTTTTTGTTTTTTTTTTAACTGTTCCTCCAGGGAGAGAATACTAGCTGGAATAATTTATAACTGCTATTGCTGCAAGCTAATTTAGGCTACTTAGCAAGTATCTCGTAAAGATATTTTTTACAGATAAAGAGTTAAAAAGTTTAGTGCCAGTAAATAATAATGCTACTATTTAATGTTTACTCTTTGCTAGACTTGGTACACAGTCTTTCATTTAAGTGTCACAACCCTGAGAGACACGAGAATTATGCTCACTTTATAGATGAGAATTTGAGATCACCCAGCTAGGAGGTGGCAGAAGCAGCTCATGTAAACCTGGATTAATATGACCAGTGAGCCTGAGTTCTTAAATATTACAGATTACAGCTGTCTCGAACTGACTCTATGAAAAAAAATCCACATGAATATTTAATGAGGTAAAGTCATCTACAGCAAATCTAAAGTGTTTAACCAAATGAAATATTGATGTAAGTGCAATGCTACGAAGATTAACATTCAGACACAAACACATACATTTCTTTCCTGGTATTTTGAAACTTCTTTTTTTTATGTCAAATTATTAGGTGGGGTGTGGCCTAGTATACATACAACTATATAGGTCATCATCAGTATGCATCACATCTAAAATTCTTTCTGCTGATAGAAATAAAAGTATTCTGACCATTATGATTATAAGCATTCTCTTTAAAAAATATATCAGGCCAAGACCGATTAAGGTTTAAGAACTCTGAAGCATAAAATGTTTCATAGGTACAGAACTTTAGAAAGGATCTTACATGAGCAAGACTCTGAGGGTTTAACTTCATTTTGCTTCACGGTAAATCCACCTCTTATATCAAAATTAGGCTCGATTGCAAATTAGTCAAGGCAACATGCTTTTCATTGGCTTTTTATTCATTGCTGAATACAAGTGGACCCATGTTGCAAACAAAGTTAGGAAGAGTGAAGTGCATTCTGGAGGTAGACATGTTCTGAAATGTAGCATTTCACTTATAAGTAAAGTCTAGAATTTAAAACGTCTAGAATCGGCCAAAACCGGTTTGGTTCAATGGATAGAGCGT